CAGGGGGCTGCGCTGGTCAGTTCTGAGGGACGGCACCGTCCTGCAGCCTGAGGAGATTTTGAACCGTTTTCCAAGGGAAAGGCGTAAGGGTACGGCTGCAGGACAGCCAGAGGGGCAGGGGCAGGCTGGCAGCCGCTCACCTGCAAACTGGGCCCAGAAATGCAAAACCCATGGGAGAAAAGGCAAGGGGAAGGATAACAGCCCGCTGTGCCCCAGCCTTACCGAGGAAGGGGAATTTGGAGATTTGCTCCTGGGATGAAGTTGTATGGCTGGACAAAACCAACAAAACAGAAATAATCCTTTTTTAGCATTGAGCTCCTCAGTGGCACACACCAGTGGTCCTCCCTTTTCTCTGTGAGAGGGACCTCTCTTGGCCTATGTACTCGTTGCAGCACAACAATATTGAACGTATCTCTCTGTCACAGTATAATAATACTTAGAAGTGATGAAGCTATGAAGCACGTCAGGACTCCACTCCAGGAAGAATTGGTAAAAGAACGAGCAGAACCAATCACATGTAAATGGGGCAAAAGGAGACAAGATCCTTGCAGTGGTAAAATTGAGTGGATTCTGAAGAGGGCAAAAATGTTTAGTAGTTTCTCATGCAGTAAAAAGGACACACTGACAGTTTGGTAGACTTGAATGAATACAGGCGAAAACGGGAGCCAGTAAGAGAAGGGGCTTTGGTGCATTCATCAGATCAGTCAGTTCAGGCAAAAAGTAAAGATCCTGCGAGCTAAGGAGATCAAGTGGGGGTTTTCTATGTGGTAAAGACACAGGTCTCATGCAACAATGATGGTTATTCCTCTCAGTGATGAAATGAACTCTGGTGCAGCAGAGGCATCTGTAATCGTAGGCATCTACCTGTAAAAGCATGTTCACAGCAGGAGCTACTTTTCCCCAGTTTGAACTAGGGTTATTATAGCTGTCAGCAAGTTCTATATTTAAACCACTTGAGACTGAACCTCTTAAGTACATCTGCACTTGATTTCCTGTGTTCACTTTACTAATGTTCCTTGTCCCTGCTAAAAATGCCTTTTTTATGGGTTGAGCTCCATGGAGTCAGTCAGTACATTGTAAGACCAAGTTCAACCGTTTGTAACCCTTCTGGGCATTTCATGCTAGAGACCAAACACGAGAAGAACCATAGCCTTTAAGTTACTGGAACCAAAACAAACCTTCCAAAGACCAAGAAATGTCAATTGATATATATGAACCAACAACTACTGAAAATAATACCAGAGTAATGCAAGTGCATAGTCAGAACTGTACCAAGGCCCAGAACAAGCTTAAGTGGCTAACAGAAAGAAGGATGGTGTTTAAGAAAACAGTCTGAAGCAGAATTATGTGAATGAAGATAATGGTATGAGGATTTTAAGATTAAAATTTCATCTTCCACTTTAATGCAAACTACCCAAAACCCCTCTTCACCCCCTGTGGATCCTGCTTTATGCAGCTGTAAGGTTACTTGTGTTGACTCGGTGACAACATGTAAGTGTAACCCACTACAGAACATCAACTTTCTGCCTCGTCCAAGTCACCTGGTAGCCACTGCACCTGAGCCAGAGGAGAGGGCAACAATACATGGCTGGTATGGAAGGAGTAAGTGTGGGTGTATCTTCAGCTGCATGTTTGTTCTCCTTCTACCCCAAAAAATCACCTTCTGTCGATGAAATACTCGTGTAAAATGTCTTTCAGGATTATGTAATTTGTGAGTCATTTTTCTTGATACTTATATTCAGAGTGGTTAGCACTGCAAATTGAAGCAATTACAAAATTCCTGTTTTGAATGCAACACTCACAGATGCATCTGTTCAAGGCTCAGATGTTATTGGAACATTTCTGTATTTCTAGCCAAGACATTGAAAGTGGGTGGTTCCCCACCACCTCTTCATTTACTCTCACTGTCCTGGCTATGGTGAAGAGCTTGACATATTTGCATTTCTTTGTTCACTGTGAGAGCTATCTCTTGTTGCTTACATTATTATAAATAAGAAGGTATTTCTGTAGATAGGTAGGTAGGTAGAGCTACTGATTTTTTGCTATAGCCTTATTTTCCAACTTTACAAAACAACCTGTTTTTTCTGTTTTGTATTTATGTGCATTCTTGAACTTTGTTAAGAATTTTGTTTCTAGAATAAGAAACTTCTTGCTTCACTTGTGAAACACTGTCGAGATGACTACTGTTAAACAACTTTGCATGATTTAAATCTCACAGTGGCAAATATGAACAAGCTGAAACAAGAACTTCTAAAATTCTGTAACAATTTCACAGCCAGGAAATAAAGGCAGCAGAGAATAGGCTGGAGTTGAGCAGACTTTTAGCCCTTCTCCAGAAGTGGCTTCACTGAGTGAAATGCTGTTTTCAGACTTGGATAACCAGCAGTCGGCAGGGCAGCGATGTGATGTTGGAATAACCAGAAGTGGTTGGCTGAACTCGAGGGTATACAAAATAAATCACTTGATGAAGACTTTGCTGGTCCTGCAGAAGCAGGCATTGTATGTCTGCCATCTTAAGATGCAGACCCATAAAACACACAAGACATGCCCCTAGTACATGGTCACAACTACCCTGGCAGCACATGCATCAGGACCAATATCCAAGGTATCAGACCTATTGCTTATATGCTGCACAACTGACCAGCATGTGCTGCATGAGACTGAGCCTCGCTGTCCATGGACAGGCTACACATGATGTAGAGCCTGGTCTCACTGTGCATCCAGTTAATGGTCATCTACCGGCACTGGTAGAGAGATGGGGAAAGTCCAGTGTGTAGACTAAAAGGTGAAAGAAAAATACCTATCCTTATGTTTCACTAATCATCATGAGAAGAAGCAGAGACTGGTAAATGTTTGGAAGAGGAAGGTGGTAGAGTTACTGAAAAATGAGAAGGGTGATTATATGAAACTGCAATTATTCAAAATTAGAGGTGCTTAGAGCTTTGAAGCAAGAAGCCACTTGCATAACATAAAAAGCTGTAATTGTTGTTGCACATATATCAGTGGGTGTGTGAAGGGATACAAAACTGTTATGCTTCATGTGGGGCTTTTATTATATTCAGAAGCTGAGTGTTTTAATTAATTTTTCTGACAAAGTAGTGCAGTGCAGTTTTCAAGAACTGATCACAATGAAGAACTCTGCAGATGTTTTCAGTGAGTTTTTAATGTCAAAAAACCCCCAGCTTAATGTCTGAGCAACAGCAAAAACGTTATCAAATATATATGTAATGCATGAATTGGAAATCCACTAAGAAATTTAAAACATTATGCAGCATATCGTGAAAGTTCATCCTGATGACATACTGTATTTATAAAGTGTTCAAAGGGATGCCTAGCAGGATTTTCTCTCTATCCTAGCAGGAAGATTGTAAAATAATTTGTCTCTTATTAATGCATAACTAGGGAATTAAAGCTAGTAGCTATTATGTTCTTTGCAGTCTGATAGTACAGAATATTAAGAGGGCACGTCTTTGGTGGCAAAGCTTTAATGCCTGGGGAGTCCAGGCTGTGATTTAAAGTTATTTGGGCTTGAGGAATATGGGCAACATAAAGACTGTGGTATAGCCAGTGGCCACACGCCCTGTGTCAGACCCAACAGCTACATCTATAAGCACTTGTCCCGTTCTTGGTTCTGTTTTCCCTA